TGGTTTATTAGTTCTATTAGTTTCTTTTGGTGAATTCCTTAGGATTTTCCATATACATGATCATGTCATCTGTGAATGGTGATAGTTTTACTTATTGTACTTCAGTGTGGGTACCTTTTTCTTTTTCTTCCCTAACTGACCCTTCAGTGCAACGTTGAATAGAAGTGGCAAAAGTGGACATCCTTATCCTAGTCCTGGACCTTAGGGGGAAGGCATTCAGTCTTTCACCATTAAGTAAGATGTTGATTATGAATTCTTTGTAAATGTCTTTTATCAGGCTGAGGAAGTTCCCTTTAATTCCTATTTTTGAGTGTTTTTATCATGAAAGGGCATTGGATTTTGCCAAATGCTTTTTTATATGTCTATTGAGATGATTATGTGTTTTTTTGTTCTTTACTCTATTGATATGGTGTATTAAATTAATTGATTTTTGATGTTAAGCCAACCTTGCATTCCTGGGATAAATTCCACTTGTTCATATTGTATAACGCCTTTTATATACTGCTGGATTTGGTTTTCTAGTATTTTGCTGAAAATGTTTCTGCACCTATATTCATAAGGGATACTGGTATGTAGTTTTCTTTTTTAGTGATGTCTTTGTCTGCTTTTATTTAATAGTATGCTGCTGGTGTCGTGCAATGAGTTGGGAAGTGTTCCTTCCTCTTCTCTTTCTTTAAAGAGTTTACGCAAGATTGGTATTAATTCTTTAAATGTTGGATAGAATTCCCCAGTGAATCCATCTGGGCTTTAATTTGTGGGAAATTTAAAAATCAGTAATTCAGTCTCTATGCTTGTGATTGGTTTGTTCAGATTGTGTATTTATTTCTTCTTGAGTCAGTTTTGGTAGTTTGTGTCTTTCTAGGAATTTTTCCATTTCATCTTAGTCAAAGAATTTGTTGGCATACAGTTAGTTGTTCATAATATTCGTTTTTATTCATTTTAATTTCTATGAGGTTGGTATTGTTTTTTTGTCTTTTATTTCTAATTTTAATAACTTGAGTCCTTTCTTTTTTCTTGGTCAGCTAGCTAAAGATCAGTTCTGCTTATAAATCACTCAGACACCAGCTCCTTGTGGTGGCTCCACATTAAATTGCTAATTTAAAAATTACTAATTTTTAAATTTCCCACAAATAAAAGCCCAGGCCGGGATGGCTTCACTGGTGAATTCTATCAAAGATTTGAAGAATTAATACCAATCTTGCATAAACTCTTCGAAGAAAGAGAAGAGGAAGGTCAGTTTTGTTGTTGATCATGGATCATGCTTGTAATCCAATTATTACGAGAAGCATGACAAGTGCAGGTCACTCCCTCCAGTGGGAGGTGGGAGGACACTACGGCACTCTGGAGCCTGTGCTGCGCATTCCTCCCGTGTGCCAGTGTGGCTGATCCCAGGTATTTTCATGACTCCACTTGCCATCTCTTCTTGGAGTGGTAGGCAAAGGTGGAGACCGGAGACTGTGGAGCCACCATGGGGAGCTGGTGCCTGAGTGATTTATGAGCAGTGACGGGCCACATGCTGTGGTCAGGGTTATTTCATACCACGCACCTGAAATAGAAGAAACCACGGCCCCACGGCCATTTGGTCTGATGTCATAACTCACCGGTACTGTTTTTGCCGTGTTTCCAGTTCTTTACGTCTGTGCTGCTTGAGAATGTGAATTTGGTCATCTCGGGCCAATTTTGCTGTGAAGAAAGAACAAATATGAGAGGAGCTTACGGAAGGATGACAGCAATGTCCAGTGCTCAGGTTTCCCTCTGACACCCTGCCTGTTCGGAGGGTTTTATGTGCATCATCTCAGTGAAGCCCCAGAACACTCCCCCATTTTACGGTGAGGAAACTGGGGCTTGGAGAGGTCCTAATTAGAGGGTTTTCAACACAAGACTCAAATCCCATGCTCTTAGCTGCTCTCTTTACAAAAGGCAAATGCAGTTCGTTATCCTCCTGCCTGCTCCCTCAGCAAGCCTTGGGGCCCCTGCCCCTCGGTGCTCGGAGAATCATGTCCAAATGCATGAGCCGGGCTTGGTTCTCCTCGAGCTCAGCAGGTGCAGTGTGCGCCCAAATGCACTGGCCTGCCCATGCGTTTCCACCTGGGGGCTCTAGCCTTTTCTGCTCAGCCCCTCAGGACCTTGGTTCTGCAGAAATCCTGGGGCCCCTGGTGCAGAGCTGCCTTTTCATTCCAGAGGAAAGGCATTGCGTGGTTGTTGGTAGGTATTTTTAAACCACTACAGGATAGTTTACTCCTCTGCTCTGCAATTCTTACGCTGAGCAGAAATGGCTGCTGATTGTGAGCTTTAGCGTGGCCTGAGAGAGCAGCAGGACTCGCAGCTCTCATGCTTCTAAGTCCGTTTGGCTGCTTCATGGAGAAATGCGTGACTTAAGATCTAACATATAGACGCCCACACTGTCTAGTTTCCCGTGGCTATACAGAGGATTGAGAACAAAGCTCCGAAAACAGGGTGTAATGTCCTAGCCTGTGGGCTTTGGAAGTGTGTGCTCGGACTTGGGCTCTGACACTTAAATCTGAGACCTAGAGTGAGTTGCCTTGACTTCCTCACCTGTAAAACGGAGATAATAACACCTGTTTCTCAGGGTCACGGTGTGGATTTGGTAAGAGAACACAGTAAATCTCTCTGCGCGGTGCCTGGCATCTGGTAAATGCCCAACAAATGGGAACAGCAATATTACCATCACGCCTGTAGTCATCAAGGGCCTGAGGTTTCCCTTCCTCCCTCCACACCCGGCTCAGAGGTCATCCTGTCTCTCAGCCTGTCCTGCTGCCATCTTTCATTTCAGGAGCTGGGGCAGGTGCCTAAGGGCAGGATCACTTCTCAGGGCCTTTAGAGCAGATGAGGTCGTACCAGGATCACTCTTTATGCTGTTATTTAAGATAAAGCCAGTGACCAGTCGGTGGAGCCCTGAGTAGGAAGAGCCCAGATCTCCTAAAAAGGGGCCATAAATAGTGTTTCTCCAGCTCTCTGGTGAAGCACCAGGTTTTTAAAACTTCCATTCCAACACAGATTGATATTTTTGTAAAACACAACAAAAAGTAATTATCAGAACAATAGAATGAAAAACCAAATCAAAGACATTCAAAATGCAAGCCATGTTTTTTATCATTAGATGCAACAGTCATAAAATTATTCTGTCAAGTTGATATAAAAGTTTCTAAAATACCTGCTCTCAATCTCTGTGCTGACCTTGCAGATCTGGACCCAACAGTTCTCACACCACACTCTGAGCTCACTGGCCCACAGCACCTCCAGGCTGAAGCTGCTCCGGTCCCAAGCTTGCAGCTGGGGCCCAAACAGGAGACCAATGGGACCTTCCGCATTGTCCCCTGGGTACGTAAAGCCAGCCAGTAGCGGAGGCAAGAGGAGTATTAATGGTGAGTATAAGCACTACTATTGGCTTTAGGAGGCATGGCTGTAGGCACTCAGCATTCAACATCTCTAATCCACCTCAAAGAACCAGCCTATCTCTTGGGCCCCTCGGCTCTGAGGAGTTGAATCTCTTCAGCTTCACTGGTATGCATAGGTCAAAACATGCAGAATTGTAACATGCCAAGTTTCAGAAAGAGAATGGCTCGTTTCTCCTTGCCCCGAGGGTGTTAGAAGCCTCTACTCAGTGACTGATAGAAATTCCAGGAGCATGGGCAGGACGAGAAGGCCTGGACTGACTGCAGAAGGGTTCAGGGAAAGGTTTCCAAGGACTGATACAAGTGCCTTAATGAAGCTGTCCGGTCACATAGATGCTCTGAATCCCTGGGGCCACAGTGACAGCCCTCTGACTTTTACGTTCACCTGAAGTACAGTAGTGAAGTATTTAAGAGGTTATCATGTGGCTAGTCATTGAATGGCTTGTGGGCTGGGCCTGCTCATTTCCAGGTTGTCCATGTGGTGGATTAATAATAGCCACAAATCCTTTGACATTCCTTCCATTGAGAAGTGGGTTTACATCCCCTCGCCTGGAGTCTGGGTGAGCTCTGTGACTGCTTAGACCAGTAGAATATGGTGGAAGTTACACTGTGCTGGTTTCCAGGCCCAGGCTTGAAGAGACTAGCAGCTTCCTCTTTATGTCTCTTGGAATGCTCACTCCTGGAAGCCAGCCATCATGTAAGAAGTGCTGTATCCCGAGGCCACCATGCTGTGAGAAGCCTTAAACTATGAGATGCCAGGTGGAGAGAGAGGCCAAGGAGCCCTGAGGTGCCAAGCACATGAGAGAAGAACATCCTTAGCCCCAGCCCCCTCAGCTGATACCACGTGGGCCACAGATGAACCGCCCAGTGGAGCCTTTCCCAAGTTCCTGATCTGCAAAATCATGAGCAAAATTAAATGGCTGTTTAAAGCCACCAAGATGTTTGGTTACACAATAATAGATAGTGGAGGTTGCTAGACAGCTTCTCTGCCCACTGTCCACCCTGTCCAGTCCCTGAAGGTGATGGGAATAGACTTCATCAATGGGCTTCCCCTGGGCGCAGTCACTGGGAACCCTGACCAGAGAGGAGGGCATGGGGAGAGCAGGAGGGGCCACAGCTCCTCCAAGGGAGTGGTCTCCAGGACATCCCCCTTCTGGGTTATTCTGGCACTCTTTCCCTCCCCTCTCCAGCAGGCTGGCAGCGCACAGGGGCCCACAGCTCTATGAAGTCCCTTCCTTAAACTCTCCTGAGTCATCCTAACCTGCGTGCACCATCCTCAGTCTTTTGCTGGGAAGAGCTGAAGGGTCTGAGGGAAGAAGGACGTCACAACTGAGACCTTAGGTGGGTGGGCAGCAGGGAGATTTGGAGCCAGTGTTTTCCAAATACTGGAAAACAGCCTGCCCGCAACCTTCCACGTTCTGGCAACCACAAGACAAAAGGAATTTTGTGATGTTTTTCCTGCACTGAGATAGGGGACAAAAGTTCTCTTTGCCCTAATCATTCGGTGCAGAGATACAAGTTCCATTTCAGAAGCAATGGGATGTGGCCTGATAGCTTAGCAACACCAGGTAGAGAACTCTTTTTCTCATTTGTTTCAGTTTTCTTAGCTATGAAATAGCACTAATAGTCATTCTCATCTCACCCGCCCCACCAAACCTCTGTGAGGAACAACCCAGCTAGTGCTGGGGATTGCTCCGTCAGGGTGGCAGCAGCTGTCCTTCTCTCACTGTTAGTGGCTGCTTGGCGTTTGAGGGTTTCTCATTCCAGGTTTAGTAGACTGGGAGCAAGCCAAAGGGCCTTGAACTAAGGCAGGCTTTTGCCCAGGCATGAATTTGACGCGGGCACACTGGGAAGCTGGTGTGCAAGGGGGTTGTTCAGGGACAGAGTGGTCTGGCTGGCCTCTGACGTCTGTTTCTGTCTCTGATTCTCTGTACCAGGCCAGCTGTGTGTCCCTTACGAAGAATGGTCTCCCATGGAAGTGCCAGACTGGGGTCTGTACCTTTGGGGTTTGTACCGAGGGAGACAGATTTTAGGTTCTTTTCTCTTTCAGCAAAAAGTGAGACATCAGGTTTAAGAAGTGGTGACCGTGAACGCCAAGCCTGCCCATGGCCCCTTGGAGCCGGCACATGGGGTGCTCCTGGTCCACCCCTTCCCCCTCCAGGCCTGTGCGGAGCACCCTGACCCCACCTGAGCCCTACTGTGGTCTCACGGAGGGAAGCCCGTGAACCTGGCAAGTGGAGAGCTGCCACGCAGGGGTATGTCCCACAGGCTTATGCTACTGGTTACCTGTAGCTTAACCGTCCCCTGTAGAACTATAGGGAGGACACAGCTGGCTGTGTGGCCTGGGGACACTCACTGCGCCGAGTTCGCTAGTAGCTGAGGAAGCTCACACCTCCTACAGGTACATGGAGCCCAGAGTAGGTGCCCCCCCGGGACGGCAGTGTCATCACCACCACGGATGCAGCCCCTTGGGGAGGGGAAGAACTTTCGCTTCCCGGGAGGCCTGGGGATGGAGGGTCCTGAGCTGCTCACCGCGTCCGTCCCTCAGGACGATCTCGCCCTCGCCCGCGATCCAGCGGTAGCAGGGGAACTCGATGTAGTCGCCGGAGGGCGTC